GAGTAGGGTAGGGTAGGGTAGGGTAGGGTGGGGTGGGGTTGGGTAGGTAGGGTAGGTAGGGTAGTGTAGGGTAGGGCTGAGGTTAAGTAGTGGCAGGGGTTGGGGCAGGGGTAGGGTAGGGTAGGGTAGGGTAGGGGTTGAGGTTACGTGGTGGCAGGGCTTGGGACAGGCGGGTTAAGTAGGGGCAGTGTATGGGAAGTGTAGAAGAGGGGTTGTGTAGGGTTAGTGTAGGTGTAGAGCTGGGTGAGTAGGAGTACGATATGGGTCGCAAACCTGTATTCTAGTCCCCCTATATTATGAATTTGAAGTTGTCGGTCACAGCCGAAAGCTGTCATCGCTATTTGCGTGTCTAGCGCCGGAACGGTGCAGCGCAGCGGCGTAAAATTTTGTGGGCACAAAATTTAGGTGGGGCTAACCATCGTATCAAAATTTGGTTGCCATCCGCCGACGGGGACGTCGTCGGCAGCGTCTTAAAAAAGAGGTACGATCGCCATTGGTTTAACATTGCGCGCGGAAAACGGCCAACGACCGAAAAAACGGTTCGGATCTTTTGCATATATCTCGGCAACGGAGGGTCGCAGCGACACGGGGTTACCACCGATCGATGGAGCGGAAACAGACCTAGCGTATGCAACACATAGTTTTGTAAAACACTCACCACACGCAAAGAAACGGCCTATAAACTTGAAAAATGGACCGTTTTTTATACTTTTCAGGAAATGCATTGGCATTTGAAAACGGTGCATTTGATCGACACGGGATGCAGTTCACGGACTACAATAGGATCGGACATGTTCAGAAAACATAGATTTTCGGCCATTCACTCGCACATCTTTATAATTAAGCGCTTACAAATTGCAAGTTTTACGTTTAGGCGGTATGATCATCTTTACACCGTCATAATGTACTGATAACATAGACCTATGGCTATAAATCTACCATTGCTTGAAAGAGCATTTTTTTCTGATCACTACACACCCAAAATATTTTCAAAAAGTCAACAAGGACTCAAAGAAACAGCGCAATGATTGTACCGTTTTAGACGCACGTTTTCCGTCGTAGCGGCGGCGGGCATTGAACGCGGCGGCCGGATGACGGAAATACCATCGTGTGCTTTGAATACGCGTAATACTCGCCGCTCGTCCACTGGCCGCGTGGCCGAGTGGATTGGGTGTCCGGCTGGAAATCCGGAGGCGGGGAGTTCGCGACCGGTCAGTGTCGATCTTTTTCGCTCGCCTTTGTCCAAAGATAGCATCCGGCCGGCCGGCAATTGCTAAGAGTGTGCTATACATAGATTCACGAGGTGGCGGAACGTGACGTTAGACGTATTTTCCGACAAATTCCGATCGATGGCTTATCGCCGATATGCCTTTGAATTTTTGACAATGGTCAGCACAGCAAGGCCGCAATCCACCTCTCCCCTAGGGGAATTCGAAAACAGCATAAACGCTCGACAGCAAATAACATAACTTTGAAACAGCAATAACTTAGATGTCATTGGGCCGATTCCCCTGAAACTTGGATTGTCGGTAGGCAGGGCACTCACCACTCACCAGGCGATGCATGGTCATGTGTTACAGGTGCGTTGGACCGACTGCACGTGTACACGTGAGGTGAAAGGGTCCGCTTCTCCATCTAACAAACGGCTGGGTCGATGTCGCTCAAATTTTGCACACTGTTGGGAACCATTTAGACAGGTGGCTGGCGCAAGTCATCTGGAGTTTCAACTAGCGTGTACGCACGTGTAGGGACCGCTTTTATATCTCAAGAACTAATAAGCCGATTGCACTCAAACTTGGAACACCGCTTCGGTCGAGTATGAAAGAGTATGGGTAGGGTATGGGATAGTATATGTAGGGTATGATAGAGTAGGGTAGGGTAGGGTAGGGTAGGGTGGGGTGGGGTTGGGTAGGTAGGGTAGGTAGGGTAGTGTAGGGTAGGGCTGAGGTTAAGTAGTGGCAGGGGTTGGGGCAGGGGTAGGGTAGGGTAGGGTAGGGTAGGGGTTGAGGTTACGTGGTGGCAGGGCTTGGGACAGGCGGGTTAAGTAGGGGCAGTGTATGGGAAGTGTAGAAGAGGGGTTGTGTAGGGTTAGTGTAGGTGTAGAGCTGGGTGAGTAGGAGTACGATATGGGTCGCAAACCTGTATTCTAGTCTATATTATGAATTATAACATGTCCGTGCGTGCGTGCGTGCGTGCCTGCGACTGTCATGCCTTATGTGTCTTATTGCGCCTGAAAGGCGCCGCGTATCGACGTGAAATTTTGTGGGCACAATCTGTGGGTTGATGTCACCTCTGTATTAAAATTTGGGACGGATTGGCCCAGGGGTGCGCCGTCAGCACGCGCTCGCGTGCGCCATAGGGTTTACACGGGAAACGGTCAAAACGAACATCGGACGAAAACCGGCCTGCGGCGCCCACTTCCCGGGCCCAAAACTCGGCGACAGATTGCCGTAACGAGGTGGGGTTGCCACCACTGGATAGAGGAGAGATTGGCCTAGCGTATCGATATGGTTTCATAGAATAGCACGCGCCACGTGCAAGACAGCACCGCCGGTTGTGAAAAAATGACTGATTTCGTGCATTGTGGGAAGAAAACCGATGCCGCTGGAAAACGGCTTGACGGAATGAAATCGGTGTTGTATCATTTTGCAGACAAGTGTACGTGTAATCAGATAATAGCAAACAAAAACTGATGATCCGTACCATTTCCTTAATAATGAAACATTAATTGGAAAATTTGATTCGCGCGGAGCGCGATGTCCTTTACAACATCAAAACGTATTGAAAACGCTGACCAATCGCTATGAAACGTACATATTCGGAAAGAGCATTCTTTTCTGACCAATATCCACCCAAAATATTATCGAAAAGTCAATAAACTTTTGTGAAAATGACTCAAACATACGACCGTGTTTTGTTAACGTTACGGGTATTTTTCGACAAAATTCGATCGATGGCTTATGGCCGTCAGGTCATTCCACTTTTCACAATAGCTATCAAAGCATGGGCTGCAATACACCGCCCGCAAAGGGGAATTCCAAACACTGAAAATAAGCGCTTACCAGTAAACAGCACATTATTGTACTAGGAATAACTCAGCTACTACTGGGCCGATTGCCCTGAAACTTGGACTGTGGGTGGAGGGGGCATTAACCTGGCGATGCATGGTCATTTGTCACAGGTAGGGTGGATCGATTGCACGTGCGCACGTGAGGGGTCCACTTATACATCTCAAGAACGGCTGGGCCGATTTCGCTCAAATTTTGTACACCGTTAAGGACATGCAACTTGCGACTGTCTGCGGGCGCTCACCGGACGATGCATTACCATGTGTGGGGTGCTAATCCTCATGCGCACGTGCAGTGGAGCGATCCTACATCTAAACAACAACTGAGTCGATTTGAATCATATTTTGTACTCAATTTTAGACCATTCTTGGCACACAGTTTAGCTTTAGTATGGGTATTAGTAGGGAAGGGTAGTGTAGGAGCAAAGTAGGAATAGTGTAGGTTTGTGTAGAGTAGAGGCAGGGCCACTGGCAGGGGTAAAGTCAGGGACAGGGGTAAAGTAGTGGTAGGGTAGTGATTGCTGTATACTTTATAATCTTACGAAACAATTTGATTAAACTACCGTTGTGCTTGGGCGGTTTTGTACTTTGAATATCAACAAACGAAAACGATATTTTAGTAATCATGAACTGTAGACGAGTTTGCAAACCTAAACTCGGCAACCCTTCAGCACCGGCGGAGGCAAATTCTCTCCCCCTCCCCCCCATTCACACTCGCACACACAAAAGGGCTTTTAATGCAGTTCAAGAGGCCCATGTCATGCATCTTTATCATTCATTCACTGTCACTGTCGACTATGAACTTGCCAGCTGAAACCTAAGCTCGGCAACCCTTCTGCACCGGCGGAGGCAAATTCTCCCCCCCCCCCCCTCCATCCCCCCATTCACACTCGCACACACAAAAGGGCTTTTAATGCAGTTCAAGAGGCCCATGTCATGCATCTTTATCATTCATTCACTGTCACTGTCGACTATGAACTTGCCAGCTGTTTCAAACTAGCACCGAAACTTTCATGCGCGTATTCGCCCGGGACGACATTGCGGCACAGCATGCACTCAGGCGGTTATATTCGCCACAGGCGACATTGCGGTACAGTATGCATTCAGGCGTTCGACGCTTCTGCCATCTAGCGAACAAAAAGAGAATGTAGAGCGGTCACACAATACCATTTTTCATTCAGCAAGTCAAATATTTTTCATTAGTTCACCTTTTAGGAGCCTGAATTTAGTATAATTAAGACCTTTTCGTTAGTCTCAAGATTGAGTATAAACGAAACCATGATGAGATTCTTTGTCAGCGTCGCATACCTATACATTAACAGACTAGATGACGAGACTGAGATTCCATAGCAAGACCTTTGTGTTATGGTACCGACTCAAGTATATCTACATATAGGTACAGCGGTTTCTTCGACAATTTTTAAGTAATAACAAAATTATTAACTAGAGGTAATGTAGATAGGTACTTAAGTTTGAATAAATTTACATTTACTTTCTATTCACAACTTAGCATTTCGTTTCATTCATATCTACTTCAACACCTAAACATATCATTTCATTATTATTTCATTCTATGAATTTGGCATGTCGGGGGCTCCTGTTGACAAAGTTGATATTACTCTCCTCAATGATGGTGGTATAATAAACACTGCAGCATTGCAAGGCAACAATAGTAGGCTTTGAAGCACGAGTGCAAACGTGCAAACAATCTTGACCCTGATTTTTATAGTCAGACAAGGTCTATTTTTGGTCTATCTTCTATCTTCAGTGATTGCCACCAGTTTTTATACTGTTTGGTTATTCATTGAGGCGAGATTGGCGACTCTCTAAATTAAATTGAATCCCATTAACGTAAAAAGACATGCCGCGCAATGAGCGGGGCAGCGCTGCTAGGGCCGCGAATGCTGCCGCTCAACGCCGGCGCCGCGAACGGATGGCCCAGGCCAGGCTGGAGGCGGAGGCACTCCGTGACGCCGAGCGGCACCGACAGCGGCGCGCTGCTCAAGCAGAGGAGGAGCGCGAGGCCCTCGCGGAGCGTCACAGACAGCGAGAGCGGGAGCGCTACGCCGCGCAGGACGATGAACAGAGGGAGGCGCACGCCGAGCGTGAGCGTCAGCGGCGGGCGGCCTTCGATGACGCCGAGAGAGCAGCGCACGCTGAACGTGAGCGACAGCGGCGGGCTGACTTCGATGACGCCGAGAGAGCAGCGCACGCTGAACGTGAGCGACAGCGGCGGGCTGACTTCGATGACGCCGAGAGAGCAGCGCACGCTGAACGTGAGCGACAGCGGCGGGCTGACTTCGATGACGCCGAGAGAGCAGCGCACGCTGAACGTGAGCGACAGCGGCGGGCTGACATGCCCAACGAGGTACGTGACGCGGAACGGGCGGCCAACGCGAGGGGTCACATGGAGGGGCGCCGCAGAGCCGACCGGGCCAATCGAGCCGCCTGTGACGCCGACTCTGTGCTGTCCGGTCGCCAGCCGGTGGCCAGGCTTGACACGGGGGCACGCAACACGGTATGTCCGCACTGCGGCGCCCTCCTCTGGCGAGAGGAGCGGGCCACCCTGTGCTGTTCGGGGGGAAAGGTAAACATAGATCCCCTGCCCGCCCCGCCACCGCTGCTCCGTGAGCTGTGGACGGGCGACACGCTGGAGGCGCGCACGTTCAGACAGCACTCCCGGCGCCTGAACACGGCGCTGTCTCTGGCGTCTATGATGACACGGGAGGTGAGGCCGGCGGACGGTGGGTATGCACCATCGGTGATCATACAAGGTAGGTTGTATCACCGCGTCGGTCCGCTGCAGGCCAGAGACGGGGAGCGGCCGTCATTCGCCCAGATTTATGTAAATGACCCGGACTGTGACGACCCAGCGGCCGAGGCAGCTCTTCGCCTCGGACATGTGCCGCTACCCCGCGGCACCCGGGAGCCAGAGCGGGTGCGTCTACTGACGCTGCTCGAACAGCTGCAGGTCCTGCTACGCCAGGTAAATCCCTATGTGCAGGACTTTATCCACGCCGCCGAGCTGCCGGAGGAGGAGGTTCAGCAGCAGAGACTGGTGGTAAGTGCCGACGCCCGCCCGGCTGACCAGCACCCCCGGCGGTACAACCGCGCTGAGGGTTTCCGGGAGGTGGCCGTGCTGATGGACGAAGAGCCCGTCCACCAGGACATCGTGCTGCGTCGCCGTGCCGATGCCGAAGGTCCGTTCCTCCAGACGGTAAATGAGACGCACCGGGCGTTTGAGGCTCTGCACTTTGTACTCCTTCTGCCGTTCGGCACAGACGGCTGGCAGCCGGACCTACGGCAGGCGGTGGCTAACGGGCGTGGGGACGTGAGGGGCGTGACGCTGATGCAGTATTACGCTCACCGGCTGCAGCTGCGACCCGATCTCGATGACTCACTGTTCCGCGCAGGACGTCTGTTCCAGGAATATGTCTGCATGGCGTTCGCACGCGTAGAGACCCAGCGTCTGCTGTACCTGGCTCGGAACCAGGCCGGCCTGCGTGCAGAGCTGTACCAGCGCCTCCAGGACGCGCTGCCGGGGGACGCCGAAAGGGAGCTGGCCGGCGGAGACCGCGTCGGTCAGCGTGTCATCCTGCCGGCCTCCTTCACCGGCGGGCCCCGGTACTACCAACGCAGGTAAGCTTTCTACGAACATATGCCATTGTTTATTATGTAGAAACCCATTGTTTTAATCCACTAGATAACCCGTGCCATTTGGGGGGGGGGGGGTCTGAACACCCCTTGCGTTTTTTTCGCGAATATCTCGAAAATAGCTGCAACCGCTTTTGACAAATCGTATGATACACCTTTTCTGCATACGTTGTGAAAATTTCGGGTCAAGGTCGCTCAAGGTCAGGTCAACAGGCCACGTCAAATGATCTCATTTCATTTTCTCATTTTTGTGTTTTACCTTTGTCTCAACATTTCAGGTACCAAGACGCCATGGCCATAGTACGAGTGTACGGCCGACCGACGTACTTCGTTACGTTTACCTGCAACCCAAACTGGCCTGAGATCCAGGCGGCACTGCTGGAGGGGCAGGATGCACAGTCCCGCCCCGATCTGGTGGCCAGGGTGTTCCACCTGAAGCTGAAGGCTCTACTGAAGGAGCTCACCACCAGCGGTATCTTCGGACGCTGTGTCTCCATGCTGATGGTGGTCGAGTTCCAAAAACGAGGTAGGTAAAGATTCAGTCTTTGTTACTGTGTGTATATGTGTGTGTGTGTGTGTTTTTTTATGGGGGGGGGGAGGGTTCGTAATGGCCAGCAGTCACTTAAAAGGTCATCATAGTTCATAAAAAACACCATCGTTTTTCAATTTAAACCTTTGTGTAATGCGTGTTACTACAACAATGGAAGCGCATGGATCGTGTTAATTTCACCTTATCAAATCGATTAATAGGTAACAGTCTTTTCCCAGTAGGTCATGATATTGACCCCCTGTAGGTCATGACCTTGACCTAAAGACAAATTTGGAAGTGCATATTTTATCTCAATCGGCTTTTGTGTTCCCTTTCATTTTTTCGTTGGCTTAGCTAAAACATAATTTGCTTTCCTGCAGGTCTGCCGCACGGCCATATCCTGGTCATCGTCCGGCAGGAGGACCGCCCGCGGACTGCCGACGATGTAGACGCGGTGATCACGGCGGAACTGCCCGACCCGGCCAGGTCAGACCAGGCGCGCCGCCTGCACGAAATCGTGGTGAGTACCATGGTACATCGCCAGTGCGGCGCCGCCAACCCGACGGCCGCCTGCATGGACGGCGGTCGCTGCTCCAAGGGCTTCCCCAAGCCGTTCGCCAACGCGACAGAGTGGCGGGATGACCATCCGTACCCTGTCTACAGGCGGCGACCGGCGGCCGAGGGCGGCCAGGAGTTTGTGCGTGACGGGCGGCTCATCACCAATCAGTGGGTGGTACCCTTCTCTCCATACCTGTCCCTGAAATATGAGGCGCACGTGAACGTGGAGGTGTGCTGTTCGGTGCAGAGTGTCAAGTATCTTTTCAGGTACATCTACAAGGGCCCGGACCGCCAGATGGTGCGCGCTGACAACCTGATCGGCGGCGATGACGAGATCGCCGAGTACCAGGACATGCGCTCGATCGGCGCCAGTGAGGCCTGCTGGCGTCTGTTCGACATGCCGATGAGCCAGCGGCAGCCGAACGTGGTCGCCCTACAGGTGCACCTCGAGGACCACCAGCTGGTGTACTTCGAGCCGGGGCAGGAGCGGCAGGCGGCCCAGGCCGCCCGACGCACCCACCTCACCGCCTGGCTGGAGTATAACCGGGAGTCGGCCGCCGCCGACCCGGACTGCCGCCGACTGCTCTACCCGGACTTCCCGTCCCGGTACACCTGGCAGGCCGGCCAGAAGGTGTGGCGCAAACGGCGCCAACAGCAGGCGGCAGAGGCCATCGGCCGCGTGGTGAGCCTCTCACCGCGTCACGGTGACGTGTTCTACCTGCGCGTGCTGCTGCACCACGTCGCGGGGGCGGCGTCCTTTGAGGAGCTGCGCACCGTGGACGGCGTGGTCTGTGCCACCTATCGTGAGGCGTGCTGCCTGCGCGGCCTTCTGCAGGACGACCGCGAGTGGGAGGTGACGATGGAGGACGCGGCGCACGCACAGATGCCGGCTCAAGTCCGGCGCCTCTTCGTGACGCTGCTGCTCTTCTGCGCACCAGCCGATCCGTCAGAGCTGTTCAGGCGTCACCTGGACGCCATGTCTGATGACTTCGACCGCCGTCATCGCGACCTGCCGGACGAGCTGCGCGCTGCACTAACACTGGTGGACCTTGAGCGGCAGCTACAGCAGGCCGGCAAAGAGCTCCGAGACTTCGGTCTGCCGGAGGTGACGCCCGATCAGCGGGCGCGGACGGCTGAGCTGCAGCAGGCCGCCGAGCTGCGCCAGCTGCCGCGGCTCATTCAGGAGGAGCTAGAGTACGACGCAGCAGCGCTCAGAGACCAGGTGGCCATCCAGCTGCCCACTCTGCTGCCGCCGCAGCGCCACGTCTTCGACCTGGTGATGACGGCCGTCGACGGGCGACGTCCGCTGGCCGTGTTCGTGGACGCCGCTGGCGGCACCGGAAAGACGTACGTCTTCAACACGCTGCTGGCGGCGGTGCGCTCGCAGGGTCTGGTGGCGCTCGCCGTGGCCTTCAGTGGAATCGCTGCCACTCTGCTCGACGGCGGGCGCACATATCACTCGCGTTTTAAGGCACCGCTGCAGGTGGACGCGACATCAACGTGCGCCATCAGCGCGCAGAGCCCGCTGGCGGAGCTCATCCGACGGACGGCGCTCATCGTGTGGGACGAGGCGCCCATGGCTCACCGTCACCACCTGGAGGCATTCGACCGCACGCTGCGTGACGTCACTGGCAGCGAGGAGCCGTTCGGCGGAAAAGTCCTCGTGCTGGGCGGGGATTTCCGCCAAATTCTCCCAGTCATCAGGTAACTAACAACAACAGGCCTTCAGTGTGTATGAGAAAAAAATGCGTATCCAAAAATAGCTGTGGTACGTTTGCTATTATTAGTGTAATTGAATACGACTGATATAATGCTCTTCGGCGCAATCGCATTACTGCAGTTTAACATGTGAAATAAGTCGTAGCCATGAACATTCAACCGCTATGCCTTCAGAACGTATTCACTGATTTTTATCGATGCCAGCGTCGTAAACACACTGCCGCAGCGGATTGATCGTAGACGGCATGCTTTGTGGTTTCTTTAGCTTCGCCCTGGTGGGAGGGGCTTTTGGACCACACTTGCCAGTTTACACTCACACTCGCCCACACAGTGAGCCCAGTAAAGAAATCTGGGCTAAATTTGTTACGGCCGATAATAAATCAATTGTGCATCGTATGAGTTACTTCTTACCTCCGGTCACATAAGTTCAACGGGTCTCCAGATTAAGATTAAGACGGGTCATCCAGCCTTTTTTGCGATAACTTTAGGCAAACATGTTAGAACGATACAAACGCTTTAGTTAGATGGATTCAGTTAAACAATACAAATCGACAGTTATGACACATGACCTTTTCCGGTAGGATTACGACCTCGACCCTAGGTCAGATTTTGTAGTCGGTCTTTTGAGGTGAGGTTATATGTACTTCATTCGACGCGTCACAACGAGCGGAATGCGTCGCTGATAAATCGACAATACAACCTTGATGGAAAGTTGTCGCAGAAAAACGTTTCCCGAAAAATGTAAACGCTTTAGTTTTTCCCCTGTGGCTTAGACCCCCACCAGGGCGCCGGCTAAACAGCCATTTCTGAGCATTAGTGGCCGTCTCGGCGCGTTTTTACAAGCATATTGTTGTCCGTTTCAGGCACGGTACCCGCGCACAGGTGGTGGACGCCTGTCTGCGGCGGTCAGCGCTGTGGCGTCACTTCATTGTGGCGCCGCTGCTGGAGAACATGCGGGCGCGGCGGGCAGCCGGGCCGGACGGTCCAGAGCTGCGGGCGTTCTGTGACTGGCTGCTCGAGCTGGGAGAGGGGCGCGCAGAGGGCCCCGAGGATGGGTTTGTTCAGCTGCCCCCGCACCTGGTGATGGACGCCGATATCGACGCTGTCATTGACTGGGTGTTTGATGACCTGGCAGGGCGACACGGCGACCGGGAGTGGATGGCGTCGCGGGCTGTGCTCGCGCCGCGAAACACTCGGGTCGACGAGCTGAACGCCGCAGTCACCGAGCGCTTCCCCGGAGAGGCCGTCCGCCTGCTGAGCGCCGACAGTCTGGTGGAGGAGGCCGAGCAGCTGGATATTCCACATGAGTATCTAAACACTCTGTGCGCTCCCGGCTTCCCACCTCACTGCTTGATGATAAAGCCAGGCATGCCACTCATGCTACTTCGTAACCTGTCCGCCACTGACGGACTGTGCAATGGCACGCGACTTATCGCTGGTCGTATCATCAGCCCGCGACTCATGGAGGCCACTATCGCCTGCGGCAAAAACGCCGGAAGGCAAGTGCTTATTCCACGGCTCCCACTCCAGCCCCCGGATGACGCGTTTCCCTTCCGCTGGGAGCGTCGCCAGTTCCCCGTGCGGCCAGGTTTCGCCATGACGGTGAACAAAGCCCAGGGGCAGACGCTCGGTCGGGTCGCGGTCTTTCTGGAGGAGCCAGTGTTCAGCCACGGGCAGCTGTACGTCGCTGCATCGCGGGTCGGCCGGCCGGCGGATCTAAGGATCGCGCTGCCCAGAGGTGGCCAAGGCGCAACACCCAATGTGGTGTACACGGAGGTGATGGGCCGAGGTGAAGGCCGGTAGATCCACGGGTCGCAGAGGCGACGGGTAGCCAGAGCGCTACGAGCAACGCGGAGAGGAGGAGCGAGGAGCAACGAGGAGAAAACGGCCGGCCGACCGTGATGCAGGACGGATAAATCCTGGCGAGCCAATGCGCCGTCAAGTGGAAAATTTACACATTAACATAATGCCGCAACTGGCTTTGGTGACCTCCAATGCGCGAGCGCAACTTATATTTTGAGGATAAATCAATGTATTGAGTGGCATGTTATAAAACATGTTTGATATGCTCTGATGATATATTTGATATTTGATGATATATTTTGATATTTGAGAGCACATCTAACAATGGGCGTTTGCCTCCAGCTATACAATCGGCTGCGAGTAGCACACACCGAGTACTTCTCGGGGGGCCTTATTGCCGCTGCCCACGGCCGCCGTGTCTTCCCTCACCAGAGGTGTGCGCTCTGCACCCGGTGAGGGGTCTCGGGCGTTAAATAGAGACGCAATCCGATGTGGCAGCCTCCACGCGGCGGGTTGCGGGGTAAAAGCTAATAGCCACACAGAGCGACACGTAAGTATTTCACTGTTGTATTCACTAGATTTGATTACGTTGCAGAAACCTGTCATGTACTGTCACCTGCACACTGCAGCTGCTTCCACTTCTTATCACGACATAACTTAGTGTCAGCCCCGCTGAAGACAAAAGGACGCACAAGCGCTGCGCTGGATTCTCCGACAGCATCTTCTCAGTCGCGGTGGTGACTGATACAACCAGCGTCTTACGGGTAAGGCAAGAAGTAAAGTATGGTTTGGTATGTAATGAGTAGAGCTTCTGGGTAGGGTAGGGTAGTGTAGCGTATGGTAAGGTTGAGTGCATAAGCAGCCAGCATGCAAAAGACTCAAACAACCCGTAATCAGCACCAGCATACCATACACTTTAAAGTATCAAATTTCACCTAAGTCATACAAATGAAAATATAACCTCATACATCAAACTAATGGCCCCATGAACAATGGCCATCGAAACGTACAGTTATCGCGTGTGTCCATCCATCAATCCTGGGTAGGGTAGGGTATTGTAGTGTATGTTAAGTTTGAGTGCATAAGGGCCCAACATCCGAAAGACTCAAACAACCCGGTAATCAGCACCAGCATACCATACAGTTCAATTAAAACCAAATGTCAAACTTCACCTAGCTCATACAAATAGAAATATAACCGCATACACCCAAACTAATGCCCCCTCAAACGTATCTATCCAAACGTACAGTTATAGCGCAAAACATGGCCATCTAGTCTATATTATGAATTATAACATGTCTGTACGTGCGTGCCTGCGACTGTCATGCCTTATGTGTCTTAATGCGCCTGAAAGGCGCCGCGTTGCGACGTGAAATTTTGTGGGCACAATCTTTGGGTTGAGGCGACCTTTGTATTAAAATTTGGGAGTCATCGGCCCAGGGGTGCGCCGTCAGCACGCGCTCGCGTGCGCCATAGGGTTAACACGGGAAACGGTCAAAACGAACATCGGGCGAAAACTGGCCTGCGGCGCTCGCTTCCCGGCTGTATAAGTCGGCAACGGGTGGGCGTAGCGAGAAGCGGTTGCCACCAATGGATAGAGGAGAAATGGAACTAGCGTATTGATATGGTTTCATAGTATAGCACCCGTCACGTGCAAGACAGCACCCCCGGTTGTCAAAAAATGACCGATTTCGTGCATTGTGGGAAGAAAACCGATGCCGCTGGAAAACGACTTGACGGAATGAAATCGGTGTTGTATCATTTTGCAGGCAAATGTATGTGTAATCAGAGAATAGCAAACAAAAGCTGATGATCCGTACCATTTCCTTAATAATGAAAAATTAATTTGAAAATTTGATTCGCGCGGAGCGCGACGTCCTTTACAACATCAAAACGTATTGAAAACGCTGACCAATCGCTATGAAACCTACATATTCGGAAAGAGCATTCTTTTCTGACCAATATCCACCCAAAATATTATCGAAAAGTCAATAAACTTTTGTGAAAATGACTCAAACATACGACCGTGTTTTGTTAACGTTACAGGTATTTTTCGAGAAAATCCGATCGATGGCTTATGGCCGTCAGGTCATACAACTTTTGACAATAGCTAATCAAAGCATGGGCTGCAATGCACCGCCCGCACAGCGGAATCCCAAACACTGAAAATAAGCGCCTACCAGTAAACAGCACATTTTTGTACTAGGAATAACTCGGCTGCTACTGGGCCGATTGCGCTGAAACTTTGACTGTGGGTGGAGGGGGCAATAACCTGGCGATGCATGGTCGTGTGTGACAGGTAGGGTGGATCGACTGCACGTGCGCACGTGAGGGGTCTGCTTTACATCTCAAGAACGGCTTGGCCGATTTCGCTCAAATTTTGTACACTGTTGGGGACAATGTAGAAAATTGGCTGGCACAAGTCATCTGGAGTCTCAGCTAGCGCGTGCGCACGTGCAGTGGGCCAGTTTTATATCTCAAGAACGGCTGGGCCGATTGCGCTCAAATTTGGTACGTTACTTAAATCGAGTATGAGAAGGGTAATTATGTGTTATTAGTAAGGTAGGGTATGGGTAGGTTAGGGTAGGGAAGGGTGGGTTTGAGTTCGATAAAGGCAAACCATGAGAAAGGCTCTAACAACCCGCAACCAGCACCAGCATAACATGCCGTTCAAACAAATATCCAACTCCGACAAAATAAGAAAAATAAAAATCATGAGTTCCCACACCCAAACTAATGCCCCATCAAACGCATCTATCAAAACGCACAGTTATAGCGCAAAATATGCCATCTAGTCGGATATATTATAAAAGAGAAGTTGTCGGTCTGTAACAGACGAAAAGTGTCATCCACATCTGGGTGTCTTGCGCCGGAACGGCGCCATGTAGGGGCGTGAAATTTGGCAGGCACCAAGCGTGGTCAAATCGAACGATGGTATTAAAATCTGGGTGCGATCCGACCAGGGGTGCGTCTCTGGCGGCGTCGCGAGCACGAGGCACGCTCGCCATTGGTTTAACACGGGGCGCGAAAAACGGCGACATCGGCCGAAATCGCTCCGACGCCTGCTCCTCTCCGGGCCTATATCTTGACGACCGGTTGCCACAGCGACACGCGGTTGCCACCGATCGATAGAGGAGAGATAAAGCTACCGTATTGATATAGTTTTATAACGTTGGGCACAGCACGTGCAAATCAGGACCAATTGTTGTGAAAAAATGACCGATTTCGTGTCTCGTGGAGGAAAAATCGGTGCCGTTTGAAAACGGTTTGGCCGAATGAAATCGGTGTGGTACCATTTTTTAGGTAATTGCACGTGAGATGCAATGAATGAAAAGAAAAAGTGATTGCTACTACCATTTCCTTAATAATGTAAAATTCATTTGAAAGTTTGATGCGCGCAGAGTGCGCTGTCCTTTACAACACGATAACGTATTGAAAACGTTGAAAATTGACCATGAAACATACATATTCGGATAGCGCATTCTTTTCTGATCAATATCCACCCAAAATATTATCGAAAAGTCAATAAACTTCCGTGAAAATGACTCAGGCATACCACCGTGTTTTGTTAACGTTAGACATATTTTCCGATGAAATCCGATCGATGGCTTATTGCCGGCATGTCATTGCACTTTTGCCAATCAGTACTCAGCACGGCATAGACTGCAAGGCACCGCCTGCTTAGGGATATTGCAAACCCTTGAAAATTGTACTTACATATAACTCAGTCGTTTCTGGGCCGATTGCGCTGAAACTTGGACTTTCGGCAGGCAGGGCACTCACCAAGCGATGTAGGGTCATGTGTCACAGGTGGGGTGGACTCATGCACGTGCGCACGTGAGGGGGTCTGCTTCTACATCTGATGAATCCCTGGGTCGATTTCAATCAAATTTTGTACACTGTTAGGGACAATTTAGACAGGTGGCTTACATAAGTCATCTCGAGTCTCAGTAAGCGCGTGCGCACGTGCAGGGGCCCATTTATATATTTTAAGAACCGGTAGGACGACAGCACTCAAATTTTGTGAAACTCTGGTCAAGTATGAGTAGGGCATGAGTATGCCGGGTATAGGTAGGGTACGGTATGGGAAGGGTAGGGTATGGGTAGGGTAGGGTAGGGTAGGGTAGGGTAGGGTAGGGTATGGGTAGGGTATTGTATAGGATAGAGGTAGTTTTGGGTATGGGTAGGATAGGGTAGAGGTAGGTTTGCCGTTTGGGTAGGGTAGGGTAAAGTTGGGTATGATAGGGTAAAGTTCGGTATGGTAGGGTATAAGGTAATCGTAGGGTAGGGTAAGGGTAGGGTATGGGTAGGGTATGTATATTGGTAGGGTAGGGTAGGGCCTTTTGCGGCTTTTCCTATTGGCGGCGGTTAGGCGTGCGATGTGGGCGGTTTCCTTTGTTGCGGCGTTTGCGGCGTTTTGCGGTTGGCGGCGGGCAGGCGTGCGATTCGGGCGGGCGGTTTTTTGCGGCGGCGTTTGCGTTTTTGCGGTGTTTGCGTTTATCGGCACGCGGTCGTTTTTTGCGGCGTTTTGCGGTTGGCGGCGGGCAGGCGTGCGTGCGATGCGGGCGGTTTTTTGCAGCGGTGTTTGTGTTTGGTGGCGGTCAGGCGGGCGATGCGGGCGGTTTTGATTTGTTTTCGGCGTTTTTGCGTTTTTTTTTGCGGTTTACGGCGGGCGGGCGATTTTTTATTTGTTTTTATTTATTGCGACGTTTGCGTTGGCGCTTCGGGCGTGCGTTTTGCGTTTGGGGCGGGCGGGCGCTTTTTTGGTTCCTTTTTTCGGTGTTTGCGTTTGGGGCGAGCGGGCGCTTTTTTGCGGTGTTTGCGTTTGGTGGCGGGCGGGCGATTTTTAGGCGTTTTCGGTTGGCGGTTAGCGTGCGTTCGATGCGAACGGTTTTATTTTTGCGGCGTTTTTGCGTTTTTTTTGCGTCGGGCGGGCGATTCTTTATTTTTTTTGCGACGTTTGCGTCGGCATTTCGGGCGTGCCTTTGGCGCATTTTGCG